CCACCCTCCCAGATCTGCCTCTTGCCCCTGCTTCCACCTCATCCCACTTATCCCTCTCCATAACCCCACCCCTGCCCACCCCACCCACACACACACCAAGGGCGCAAGAGTAGCGGTCCAAGCCTGCAACTCATCTTTCATTAAAGGCTTCTCTCTCGCCAGCCATCCGATGTCTGTCTCCTCTGGGATCTGGAAGTGGGTGGATCCCACTTCCCTTATTTGGGGAAGTGTCTTATTTAGAAAGAGGTCAAGGTGCATTACATCTTCCTACTTGAGGAAAGCTCAAGGTCCAGGAATGTGGGGGTTCAAGGTTCCAGTTGGAAGTCGAGGAGACATCACCTTCTCAGCTATAAAACCAGAGGAAGAAAGAATCTCCTTTCTTTCTTTTTTTTTTTGGAGACGCAGTCTGGCTCTGTTACCCAGGCTGGAGTGCAGTGGCACGATCTCGGGTCACTGCAACCTCCAACTCCCGGGTTCAAGCAATTCTCCTGCCTCAGCCTCTCGAGTAGCTGGGACTACAGATGCCTGCCACCATGCCCAGCTAATTTTTTGTATTTTTAGTAGAGACGGGGTTTCACCATGTTGACCAGGATGGTCTCGATTTCCTGACCTTGTGATCTGCCTGCCTCGGCATCCCAAAGTGCTGGGATTACAGGTGTGAGCCACCGCGCTTGGCCAAAATAATCTTCTTTCAATCAACGAACATTTACCTAAGTGGTACTGTGTGTAAACACTGTGTAGGAACTGAGGCTCCAGCATTAAGCAAAATAACCACGATCCTTACCCTCACATGGGCCTTACACACACACACACACACACACACACATGCCAGTGCCAGGAAGGAAAATGAAAGGGTCTTCACGTGCCTATGGGGCGGAGAAAGGGTGGGCAGGGACAGATGTGTCATTCTCTCATTACTCAAACATATGCACACTGTATTGTGCACATAGCCATTAGAAAAATCCCTTATTGAGGCCGGGCATGGTGGCTCACGACTGTAGTCCCAGCACTTTGGGAGACAGAGGTGGGCAGATCACTCGAGGTCAGGAGTTAGCGAGCAGCCTGGTGAAATCCCATCTCTACTAAAAATACAAAAATTAGCAGGGCGTGGTGGCACGCGCCTGTAATTCCAGCTACTCAGGAGGCTGAGGCAGGAGAATCGCTTGAACCTGGGAGGCGGAGGTTGCAGTGAGCCGAGATGGTACCACTACACTCCAGCCTGGGTGATAGAGCGAGACTCCATCTGCAAAAAGAAAAAAAAGAAAGAAAGAAAGAAAAATCCCTTAATTGAGCAGGACACATAGCTCATGCCTATAATCTTAGGACTCGGGAGGCTGAGGTGAGAGGATCACCTGAGCCCAGGAGGTCAAGGCTGCAGTGATCCGTGATTGACTGCGCCACTGACTCCAGCTTGGACAACAGAGCCAGACCCCGTCTCAAAACAACAACAACAACAAATCAGAAAGCGAGAAAAGAGAAATCCCTGGCCGGGCGCGGTGGCTCAAGCCTGTAATCCCAGCACTTAGGGAGGCCGAGACGGGCGGATCACGAGGTCAGGAGATCGAGACCGTCCTGGCTAATACGGTGAAACCCCGTCTCTACTAAAAAAAAATACAAAAAAACTAGCCGGGCGAGGTGGCAGGCGCCTGTAGTTCCAGCTACTCGGGAGGCTGAGGCAGGAGAATGGCGTAAACCCGGGAGGCAGAGCTTGCAGTGAGCTGAGATCCGGCCACTGCACTCCAGCCTGGGCGACAGAGCGAGACTCCGTCTCAAAAAAAAATAAATAAATTAAAAAAAAAAGAGAAATCCCTATGTAGGTCTACCACAAAATAAACACGGATGGCAGGTGTGGAGGGAGGACATGGAAGCGCAATCGAGGACGCAAAGGTGCACCCCCCGCAAGAAGGATTAAACAGTATTTAGGCCAAGTTGGGAAGGGGAGGAAGTGAGGAGGAAAACATGGACGGGCGGTGGTGTTGGCCAGCGCAGGATGGGAGAGGAATGTGCTCCCAATACTGGCCTCCTGGGCCTTGGCGGGAGCATTTACGGCACTTTACAACTCTCAGACTGGGCGACCGGCCACGAGGGGAAAACCAGTGCAAATTCCCCAGGCCCAGTTGTCCGGAAGAAGACGAGGCAAGTCCGCGTAAAGATTTTTAGACGGTGTACCTTGCCTAAGGAACAGAGGGGCAAGGGAATTCGGAACCCAAATCCCCTCTAAGGCCCTGATTACTAACTAGTAACCCAGGAGGTTGCAGCTTAACCACTACGGGAACTTGAAGTCCCGGCACGCCCCGATAGGGCCATTGCCACGCCCCCAGAGGGCGGGGCACTGCTTATACCGCGGAGGTAAAGTTTGCTGAAGTTCACCCTAAGGCTCCGCCTCTGATCCCTGCGCAGGCGTAGCTCAAATCTTTCACGCCCTCTAGTCGTGAGCGGATCTGACGCCTGACGTAATGGCGTAGACGCCATTTTAGCCGGTCCCACAAGCACTGCATGTGGCGGCCATTTTGTTTTGGACACCGAGCCGGAGCTGGCGGCCGCTGCAGACGAAAGGCAAGAAAGGGCAGGCCGGGTGAGCAGACGGATCGGCCAGCTAGACAGCCAACCAGCAACAACGAACTGAGCTCGCATACTACCGCTTACGCATCTGATCAACCGCCCATCTAGCTAACCCGAGCCCCTCCACCGTCAACTCAGGTTCGGCCGGTCCCCGGCCCGCCTGCCGGAGCCGTGGTGGCAGCCCCGGGAGGAGCACTGGCGTCTGTTTCCTTCGGTGAGTTTCTGTAGTGAGAAGGAGCGGGGTGGCGGGGTCTTGGGGAGCGGAAGGGGCTGGCGGACGCGGAAAGGGGGTGGTGGCATGTGGACACAGCTACGGTGTTGGAGCGTGGAGGCCCGGGGGAGGAGGCGGAGCCCCTGCGAAGGGGCGGGGGAGGGGCTGAACTGGAACCTGGTGGCGGGACTGATGGAGGTTGGGGTTTGATAGGGATTAAAAGGAAACTTGGGTTGAGCAAAAGTGGAAGTCTTGATAGGGCTTTGAGGATGGTAGGGAGATTAAGAAATACAAGACTTTGAGGAATGTTGGAAATTAATGGCGGCTTTGGGGTTAAGTTTTGTGGAGGGCTCTTTGCGAGCTCATTCCCCAGGTGAATTTAGAAAACCTTTCCTACGCACTCCCCGAGATCACTAGTTTATTGTTACAAAAGTCTCTACTTGATTCTGGAGTTGAAAGCCAATTTTTAAATAGGCTTTTTTTTTTTTTTGAGACGGAGTGTCGCTCTTTTTGCCCAGGCTGGAGTGCAGTGGCACGATCTCAGCTCACCACAGCTTCCGCCTCCCGAGTTCAAGCGATTCTCCTGCCTCAGACTCCCGAGTAGCTGGGATTACAGCCATGCGCCACTACGCCCAGCTAATTTTGTATATTTAGTGAAGACAGGGTTTCTCCATGATGGTCAGGCTGGTCTCGAACTCCCAACCTCAGGTGAGCCGCCCGTCTCGGCCTCCCAGAGTGCTGGGAAAACAGGCGTGAGCCACTGCGCCCGGCCCTGCCTATATTTTCACTCTAGATCAGTAGTTTTCAACTTTAACTGCACGCTAGGAGCACCTAGGTAGCTTTCCCTCCACCCCACAATTGTTCATTGCCAAACCTCGTTACTAGAGATTGTGGTTTAATTGATCCAGGCCCAGATATCTGTATTTTTTATTTTTTTAATTAATTTATATTTTTATGGAAACGGGGTCTTGCCATGTCGCCCAGGCTGGTCTTGAGCTCTAGGGCTCAAGCATTACGCCCACCTTGGCCTCCCAAGGTGCTGAGATTACAGGCGTGAGCCACCGCGCCCCGCCTGTCCGGCCCTTTGAAAGCTCCTTGGATAAGTCATATGTAGTCAAGGTTGAAAATGACTGCTCTAGAGAAAAAGCCAAACTCGATGGGGCGCAGTGGCTCACGCCTGTAACCCCAGCACTTTGGGAGGCCCAGGTGGGTGGATCGGGTGAGGTCAGGAGCTCAAGACCACCCTAGCCTACGTGGAGAAACCCCGTCTCTACTAAAAATACAAAAACAATTCGCCAGGCGTGGTGGCACGTGCCTGTAGTCCCAGCTACTCAGGAGGCTGAAGCAGGAGAATCGGTTGCACCGGGAGGCAGAGGTTGCAGTGAACCGAGATCGCACCACTGCGCTCCAGCCTGGGCGAGAGAGTGAGATTCCGTCTCAAAAAAAAAAAAAAAAAAAGGCCAGACTCCATACTTTGATTGCTAAATTGGGTTCTGCCGTTTTTGAGAATTTCCTGGGTATTTTCTGGGCCTTGGAGTTTGTTTGGGGTTGTTTGTTTGTTTTAAAGAGATGGGATCTCTCTCAGGCTGGAGTGCAGTGGCGTCATCACAGCTTTTTGCAGCCTCCAACCCCTGGGCTGTAGCACTTCTCCCACATCAGCTCCCCCTGAGTAGCTAGGACCACAGGTGCTGGCCACCATGCACTGCTATTTATTTATGTATTTATTTTCTTAGTAGAGACTCGGTCTCACTTTGTTACCCAAGCTGATCTCTAACTCCTGGCTTCAAACCATCCTGTGCCCTCACCCTCCCAAAGTGTTAGGATTACAGGTGGTGAACCACCACGCCCAGCCACCTTGAAGTTACAGTAATGTGAGGTAACTGCCATAGAAATTTAAGCACTTTTGCTGGGCGTGGCACCTCATGTCTGTGATCCCAACACTGGGAGGCCAAGGTGGGAACATCCTTTGAGGCCAGGAGATTACAGCTGCCGTGACCCACTGCAGCCAAGATCATGCCACTGCATTCCAGCCTGAGTGACAGAGTAAGACCCTCTCTCAAAAAAAAAAAAAAAGAAAAAGAAATTTAAGCACTTGAAATGTGCCCTCATGTGCTCTTAAGTCATCAGTGATAAGGCCTTTTTATTTATTGTTGACTTGGGCCTTGCCACTTATAGAAATGATGTGGTCACTATTGTGATTTGCTCATTTTACGTATTGTCCTTTGTAGATTCTCGGGATTTGAAGATGGCTGCACAGTCAGCGCCGAAAGTTGTGCTAAAAAGCACCACCAAGATGTCTCTAAATGAGCGGTGAGGCAGCCAACAGCAACTTCAGCTCCTTCCTAAGAAAACGTTACTTAACTTGGCCCTGGGGTCCAGTGCACAAAGCCAGTTTTAAGCTAAATACCAACAGAAGGCTACAGACCTCTGTTCTTAGTTGCATCTCATGTGGTACACAAAACAAATTGGGCGGTTGTTTCAAAACCCCTTATCAGTAGACTTTTATGTTAAGCTGTCTGAAATATTTATTTGGTGGGATGTATTTTAAAAGACTCCTAACACCCTCCCTTTTCACATTTTTTTACATTGATACAGGGGTCGTGCAGCACGGTAGCATGGTACCCTGGCTACAGTAGGCTTGCTGCCCAGTCCAAGGCCAGCAGTGTTGTGTCTGGCCTGTAAGAGGCAGGTAGCAAGCCATGAATATGTCCAAAGGTCCTTGAATGTCGTTCTTGGGCCTTGTAAGAGGCACTCGCTTTGCTCCATTTCACTTTCTTTCCATTCTGCTTTTAGTTTGGTTTTGTTTTGGATTCTTTTACAGTTAAGTGTTCTTCTCTTCCATTCCATTACACTTCCTTGACAGAAATAATGAGTCTCTTCACGGGCTCATAAATGATCGAACTAATCTAACTTTCAAAAGTAACTACTTAGAGTCAGAAAAAGTGATGATTTGAGACTAAGAAAAGTAAAAGTATTTAAAGGCAGTTTCTATTTCTGACAACTTTGTTCATTAAGAGTCCCTTTGGCTGGGCGCAGTGGCTCATGCCTGTAATCCCAGCACTTTGGGAGGCCAAGGGCGGATCACAAGGTCAGTAGTTCAAGACCAGCCTGGCCAACATAGTGAAACCCTGTCTCTACTAAAAATAGAAAAATTAGCTGGGCATGGTGGCGCATGCCTGTAATCCCAGCTGCTCGGGAGGCTGAGACAGGAGAATCACTTGAACCCATGAGGCGGAGGTTGCAGTGAGCCAAGATCGTGCCACTGCACTCCAGCCGGGGCAACAGAGAACAGAGTGAGACTCTGTTTCAAAAAAAAAAAAAAAGATTGCCTTTGATCAGTGATTTCATTAGGTTGACTTTAGACCACTGGAATTTACTTAATGTCTATTTTTGCTTCTTCTGAGGCATGTGTGCTTCTCTCCTTATCTCTTTGGCTATAGGCTAATTATTTATGTTTACATAATAATATTTATGTTTGCATGTTACTAAGTGACATATTTTAAAATGTGATACACTCCTGTAATTTATGAGAGTATGTTAATTGCTGTGAGCTTTGAAGGTGCTCTAGTCCTTCCTCATATTTGGCCTTAGAATGCACCTTGGATCCCCCAAGGTTTAGGCTTTCTTTGTTTGTCTTTGAAACTATATCTTCTGTCTCTTGTCATATCTGCTTATTGCGTGTTTTTCATACCTTCCACCTCTCTAAAAGCCGTTACCTGAGCCCTTGTTATCACTTTTGGTTGAATGTGCTGCACTTAGCTGCATTTCTGAGTTTCTGATTCTTGCAAGTTTGTGGAAACAGAGGAGTCTTTAACCCACATCAGCCTTGATCTAAGTGTACCACTTTACTTAAAAGTTCGTGGGATCTGGAGCTCCTGGTCTAGCAAGCCATGAAAATGCCAATAAATGTTTGTAATAAAGCTTTTATTTAAACATCCATTTTGTTCGACCTTGAAGCTTTACTAATATGCTGAAGAACAAACAGCCGACGCCAGTGAATATTCGGGCTTCGATGCAGCAACAACAGCAGCTAGCCAGTGCCAGAAACAGAAGACTGGCCCAGCAGATGGAGAATAGACCCTCTGTCCAGGCAGCATTAAAACTTAAGCAGGTGAGAGAATGGGTCTTAATGCTCCAGAAGCAGCTGGTGATCTCTGTCAGGGAGTCCACTGAGGCTGTCAGAACGTGATGGATGATTGCAAAGTGGCTCAGGGCAAAAAACTGAAACTTCTCTGGAAGAAAGAGAAGTTCAGAGAATTCCAATTTTGGCAGGTACCAATAAGTAACTTTTTATTATCTTTCTCTTTTAGGGAGTTTGCCATCTATGTGGCCTGTTTCTGTTACCAATGAGTATTAATCTTTTGTTTTCTGATCTTTAACCCTTAACATAAATTAATGGCTTATTCCACAAAGAAACTTTATTTCAGCTTTAGATAATCTCACAGCATCCTTTCCTCTCTGTTAAATGATTTACCCACCAGGGAAATAATTTTATTCTTGTTCCCCTAGTGCAGGGAGTTTGCATGGCCTTAGTCAAAGATTTTCAATGCTAAAATATACAGAGTAGAGTGACCTTCATTTCCACAGCACCTAAAGTTTTACCAGTAAAGTGGAGCAAGAGTACTGAGTAATTTGAGTTAGGGGTTCTCTTTCAAACTTACAGTGAGAGATAATCCTATTCAGACCTGAATAAAACCTACTCTTTATTATTCATAGAATTTATATGCAAGTCCGGACAGTGGCTGTGGAAGGATATGTCCAAGCTGTGGCTGGGCGTCTGGAGGGCGGTGCCATGCAACTGTAAGGGCTTTGGTAGCATTGCATGGCTGTGCATAAATTCAGCAGTTAAATATAACACCCTTACACCCCCACCCTGAACCACTGGGCTCACTGACCAAAAATAAACAAGACTTTCTGCTTCGGCTGTCTTAAGCCTTGGAGTGACTGGATTCCTCCCTGACTCAGGAAAGCAGCAAAAGACACCACCATTTTCCAAGAGTAAATGGAAATTGCTGAAGATGAGTCTATACTTTTATTTAGGACCTATCGGTCTGTAGATCTACACACCGTAATCCAGCACTTAAATCTATAGGAGGCCAAAGGCAGGTGGATCAACCTGAGTTCAAGTGCGACATTGAAGAAAACCACGCCTAGCCAACTGACACGAACCCATCTACTACCACTCAACATAAGACCGGAAGTGTGACAGCAGCCCTGTAATTAAAACCAC